AGAGCTCCGACCTTCATTCTGAATGATTCCAGCGAACTCTGTCCTATCAGAGGTCCCGTTTCGCTGATGACTCGCGCTTCAACACTCACCACAGAGCCTTCAGCCACGGGACAACGGGTCGTCTTCCTGTAAGTTCAGGTATCAGCGTCACATGACCAGCAGAGAACAACCTGATTGGCTGAATGGTTTCAGACAGAATCAGCTGATCTGACTTCGGATTCAAACTAAAAACGTTGGAATTTAGTAAAGAAGGAAATTTACAGGAACTGAATTAAGAGGTTATTATTTAAAGGGACTTTACAGAGTTTTGAATTTTTATGCTCGCGATTGCCCCCTCAGGCCAAAAGAGTAACGGCAGCTTCAATAGTAGGCTCGTGCACGAGGCGCGCATGCTGTACGTGCACACTCCTTAATGAAAATAACAGCTGAGACAGTCCCGTGTGTGTGTGTGTGTGTGTGTGTCCCGGAGGACAGAGGACAGGAGAACGTGCAGCTAATTAATTAAATAATGTGGTTCTGTACCTTTCTCTTCAGCACAGCCGACAAAGGTTTATGATGGGTCAGTCCTCCTGCATGCTCAGATCATTCCCTTCCCTTGCTTGAAAAATTGTTCCAAAATGAAAGTTGAACCCACATCTTTTTTATCTGTGAATTCAATGCCGTTCAGCGAGTCTCAAATAAAAATTTGGCCATTTTACTGTAAAAAATATACCATTAATGTAAAAAATAAACTCTAAATAAACTATGTTTACATCCAGAATCAAACCCAGGTCTTCTGCACGAGAGTCAGACAGCTTACTAGGTGAGCTAAAGCGCCAGTGACGTCCTTTTCATCGGTCACATTTATATCCTTGATGACAGCTGAAACAATGTTCAAAGAACGGTTCGGAGTGAAAATGTCTATTTTGTTGCTAATTAGCAGGAAATATCCAGAAGAAAGTTCTACAGAAAGTAGCTAAGGGTCCTCAGAAATGTAGCTAGCTTTGTCACTAGGCGTTAGGAACAGCGACAAAGTGGCACTGCCTCTCTCTCTGCTGCTAAAGCTACGGATAGCAAATGCTACGGGCGATGCCTGAGCGTGAACGCGCATGAAGCAGCCTGCTCGACCCGAGCATCTCTCTTTTTCTGTGATTTTACAGAAAAACAGGCAATCACAGTAAAAATGCCAGGGCTCATTCTACAGGACCAGGGCATTGCAGGAGAACGTATGAAGAAGACATTTATTATTTCTACACATGTTTTGGCTGTCAAATGTCCATAATGTCCCTTTAAGGTTTAAATCCTGGATCAATCATAAAGTCGGAAGAAGACCTGAAAGCTGCTGATCTGAACCTGGATCAGTTAACAGAACCAAACTGGGGAAAAGCGAGTCTGCGGGAAAAATATCAAGTGTGATTGTAAAAGCAGAATCAGAGAACCTAAAGGATCGCAGGTAACTGGTGCTGATGAGAGATAATTACAGGTTTTACCTTGTGTGACTTCCTGTAGATGAGCTGATTGTCCCTGAGGAAGAACCAGCATCTGGAACAAATGGAGACGCTTTTTTTCAGCGTCGAAACTAAGCGAGTCTGATCAGGAGCTGCAGGTCGGTACCTCTTCCAGGTTTTAGGTTTCCTCCTGGAGCGTTTGAACAGGTGACCCTGGATGATGTCACTGCTGTCAGGACACAGACTGGTCATCGACTCGCCTGAAGCATCCTACACACACACACACACACACACACGCTTAGATCATTGGTACGTCCTCACCTGGACGGTGAAAACCCTCTCTACCAGACGTTCTACCTGAAGTTTGCTCTATCTGACGCTCTTACCCTCTGCTGCACCAGCAGGTGTTTGTTTTCCAGCTCTTTTCGTTTGGCAGCACAATCCGCCGACAGCAGCGACAGCTGAGGAGCAAACACAACCACCAGGTGAGCTTCAGGTGAGCCGAGGCCGTGGATAACAGAGGTCAGAGGTCAGCACCTGAGCTGCCATCGTCTTCATGGTGGGCTCGAGGTCTCTTAGCAGGTCAAAGCCCTGGTGGAAGAAGGTGAGCTGAGCGTGCACGTAGGAGAACACCTGGGGACAGATACAGGTGGAATCCTCACTTAAGCTGCTCAGGCCACTCCCATCAACAACACCTGGGCTCATCAAACACCCACAGAGTTCAAGATGTCGATCTTCTGCTGAGTCTTGAAAGTGTTGAGCTGAAACGGGAAACATTCAGAATTCAGCAAAAGTAAAGTGAAAATGTTGGACATTCCCTCCTCGAGGTCGTAAGGTGGAGACGGAGGCTCCGACTGTACCTGCAGACAATAATCCAGGGCAAAGTGCTGGTAGCATTTACGAGTGGCGAGCAGCAGGTGGCTCGCCCGCTCAGCGTCAGACGCTTTGTGACGTGACACCTGAGCGCTCTTTGCCGCTGCCGCTTCCAGATCCTCCCCGATCCGAACGAACTCCTTCCTGGTCTCGGACAGCTGAGGGAGGAACCTCGGAGAAACACACAGCAGCGTGAGACCTGATCTCCAGAGCCATTAGAAGACACGGACTATGACTTGTGTCTCACTGTGAGCAGAGGTTGGTCAGCTGCTGGGTGATGGCTCTCTGCGTCTGATCCAACAACATCTGACGACCAAAGTCGGAGGGTTTAACAGTGTTCATGACATCACAGAGAAGAACTGAAGAACCAGACTCACATTGTGGAAGCTGACCATCTCCTGCAGGCCCTGACTAAACTGGTTCAGGCAACTCTGAGAGAAAAGAAACAGGAAGTCAGAAAAAAAAACACAACAGGTCAGAGGTCAGTCAGACCTGCCAGAAGGTGCTGCAGGATGTAGTTCTGTCTGCAGCAGATGAACAGCTGCTCACTAACAAAACAATCCTCCATCTACAAAACCCAAACGAGCTGTTAACAGTCTGGTGCACACACACACACACACACACACACACACACACACACACACTCACACACACACACTCGCTGTTAACAGTCTGGTGCACACACACACACACACACACACACACACACACACACACACACACACACACACTCGCTGTTAACAGTCTGGTGTACACACACACACACACACACACACACACACACACACACACACACACACACACACACACTTGCTGTTAACAGTCTGGTGTACACACACACACACACACACACACACACACACTTGCTGTTAACAGTCTTGTACACACACACACACACACACACACACTCGCTGTTAACAGTCTTGTACACACACACACACACACACACACACACTCGCTGTTAACAGTCTTGTACACACACACACACACACACACACACTCGCTGTTAACAGTCTTGTACACACACACACACACACACACACACACTCGCTGTTAACAGTCTTGTACACACACACACACACACACACACACACACACACACACACACACACACACACACACACACACTCGCTGTTAACAGTCTTGTACACACACACACACACACACACACACACACACACACTGTTGGGTTAAAGTTGAGTAAATGGAGGTCTAACTGGTCCACCACCACTGAGAACTACATCTCCCAGAATGCACCAACAAAATGGCGACTGATTGGTGATAAAAAACACCTATGCAGGGTGGTGGCTCTCAGTCCTCAGCCAAACAGGAACAGCACAGCAAGCTCTAACAATGAGTTGACTCTAAAGACGCCAATGGTTGGTAACTATTGTTTTATTTATGATATGAAGTTGTTTTGGGTGACCTTTGAAGTCATGCTTTAATTTAATTGTTTACACTGTTAGTGTGGGAAGATTTAGTTTAGAAGTTCTTTGTTTATTGTATTTATATAAATGATGTGACATCTAACACTTATCTCTGTTCTTTGAAGGTTATCAACCTAATGTTCACTGAACTGACATAATAAAAATTGTTGGAATGTGATGGAGTTGTCCCAAAGTGTCCCTTTAGAGTGAAACTAGTGTGGAGCTTGACAGTTGATAACCACAGAGCACCCTGGAAAAGGAGATAAAGGGCTTCAAACCAGAAAAGCTGTGGACGCAAGAGAAAATAAAGATGGCAGAAGAGGTCTTGGGGAAGACGGTCAAACTGCTGAAGCAGGAGAGGACCAGCGCTAAAAGCAGCTTCACCAGACTAGCCAACTATATTTCAAGAGGAGCAGACATCATGCTGAAAACCGAATTAGAAGAGGAATTTGGAAAACTTTCAGACCGGTTCAGGTCAGTTCTTGACTCTAATGATGACTACAGGATTGGACTGGAGGCTGATGTCAAGGCAGTGGATGAAGAAGCAGAACTTGATAAGCAGCAACAGACCGACATTCAAATGACTTTAAAAGATGCAGAGAATAAAATGAAGGAGGTTACTGCCGCTGTACAAGCTAACCTGTGGGGAAGATATGGAGAAAGGGAACTTAAAACATCAATCCATGAAGCAGAGGAAGTAGTTGATGAAGCTGAAAATATGCAAGTCAAAAGTGACAATTTGGAGGGCTATGAGGTTCACCTCACTTTATTAGGTGAGAAGGTTAGTGCAGTCATCTCAACTATGTCTGTGTGGGAGAGGTGGATTCCTGACTCATCAAGAGATGAAATGAATGGGAGACTGAAAGGACTGAGAGCAGCCCACTGCAGGCTAAAAATGAGAAAAGCTGAATTTGCCATATTAAGGAGGCTAGCTGATCAAGGCACGAACGGTAAACCTATCCAACCATTACCACCTGTTGTGAAGATAAAACCAACTACCCTTCCCGTCTTCCAGGGTAATATGAGAGAGTTCTACAGGTGGAAAAAAGACTGGGAGAGCCTGCAAAGGCAGGGAGAGCCCACTGGCTCACCTGAGGTGCTCAAGATTCAGCTCCTGGAGAGTGTAAGTGAGACCATCGTGAAGGAGCTGAGACTGTCAACTTATACAACTGCAGATGATATGTTCAGAGTCCTGGAAAATAGATACGGCAACAAGTCTACCATTACAGTTGAAATCCTTGAAGAATTAGACAAAATGCCGCAGGTGAAGGGGAACCAGCCGAGGAGAGTCATTGACCTGATTCAATCTGTAGAGAAAGCCCTGGCAGATCTGACAGAGCTGGGGAACATTGGAGCCATAAAAAATCCGTTAGTCATTAAGTCCATTGAAAGCAAGTTACCTGACTTCATAAAAAGAGACTGGCTAACATTTCTAGTTAACCCTAAAAACAATGTCACAGCAGATACTCACTTTGACACGCTCTTGAAGTTCCTGAAGAACCAAGAAGAGATATTGGAAAGACTTGAACAACTGAGAAGTGTGGATAAGGTGGACAAGTCTGAGAAAAGGCATGAAAGAAGGTCTACATCAGCCAGAGCTACAACAAAAGAAGTTGACAAGGGTTGTGGTGTCTGTGGTGATTATGGGCACAGCAACAAAATATTCTTCTGCAAGAAATTTAAAGCTTTGAAGCTATCTGAAAAGAAGTCTGTTTTGAAGAAGCTGGGAGCATGCAATAAATGCTTAGGATACCATGATGATGACAGATACTGCAAAGACAATTTCCTATGCAAAAACACGTACTGTAAAAGGGGAGAAACTGGGCCAGACCACCATTATTTCCTGTGTCCAAAAGCTGAAACCAAAGGACAAGGGGGCACAGTTGGAAAATATGGAGGAAAAGGAAAGTTCACAGAAGAACAGGAAGATTTCTTATCACTACTTTCCCCTGAACTAGCAGATCAGTGCAGAAAGGCATTCACAAACAAATCTTCAGTTACACTCAAAGCTGCAGGCCAGTCTGAATTACTGAAGAGGAATGAGCTGGTTGAACTTCCGGTGATTATGATGCTGATGCAAGTAACAGCCAATGCAGGTCAGAAGATAGGCACCCTCATTGACCTAGCATCAGACACCAATTACATAACTCACAGAGCTGCGGAAAGATTGGGCCTCAGGGGTGAAGAAATAACCCTGGTTGTACATGGAGTTGGTGGAATGATCATGGACGTTATAACAAAAAGGTACCTCCTAAAAGTCAGAGTCAAAACTCAAAAGGGGACTGAAAGAGCACATCAACTAGTCTGCTATGGCTTGGATGAAATTGCAAAGGTTTATCAAGCAATTCAGCCTGAAAAGTTGAAAAGATTCTTCCCAGACGTCCAGCTCGAAGATCTGAAAAGACCAGCGGAAGTTGAGCTTCTCATAAGCCATCGAGAGGGAAGACTTGCACCCCAAAGAGTTAGAGTCATTGGAGACCTTGTTTTGTGGGAAGGCCCATTGGGAAAAACAGTGGGCGGAGCTCATCCTGATTTGTTTGAAGAAGTAGAGGTGACAGCATATGAATCAAGAGCCCACTTTGCTCGCTCTTTGCGAACTGCTGCTGTCAAATATCAAGAAATTACAGTTCCAGCAACCAAGCCAGCTTGGCAATTGCAGGAAGATGCGTCTCTGTCCAGATTTACATCTACCAGTAACCGTGAGTTCCTTGAGTGGTGGCACTGGGACAGCATCGGAGCCGCATGCGAGCCAAGATGTGGAGGTTGTCGATGCGGAAATTGTTCGCCAGGAGGAAGAGACATGACCTTGGCTGAGGAGAAAGAGTATGAGATCATTAAAGGAGGGCTCACATACATGGAGAAAGATGCTCACACACCATCTCCACATTGGGATGCAAAGTATCCTTGGACTGAAGATCCCGCCTCCCTCCCTAACAACAAAAGGGCAATTCAGGCTTGTTTCTTAAGGATGGAAAAGCAGCTGAGCAAAGAGCCAGAATGGAAAATCGCTTATGCAACCCAAATCCATGACATGGTCGAAAGAGGTGCAGCTATGAAACTCACCAGTGAAGTCCTGGACAAGTGGACAGGTCCAGTGTGGTATGTTAGTCACCTGGTGGCGCCAAATCCTCATTCGGTGACAACACCAGTCCGCATTGTATGGAATAGCAGCCAGAAATACAAAGGTGTGAGCATGAACGATCTTCTCTTGAAGGGACCAGATGTCCTTAACCCCATAAGAGCTGTCCTGTTAAGATTCAGAGAAGGGGTACATGCAGCTCTGGGAGATATAAAGAAAATGTATAACTCTGTCTGGTTGGAGGAGCGAGAAATGCATCTACACAGATTCCTGTGGAGAGACAATCCTACAGAGGAGATCTGTGAATATGCAATCACCAGAGTCAACGTCGGCGACAAACCTGCAGGTTGTATTGCGCAGTTGGCTATGAGGGAGACCGCAAGTCTACCTAACTTCGCTCACTTGAAGGATGAACGAAGAGTTATTGAAGAGGACAGTTATGTGGATGACCTCTTGACCTCCCACAATGATTTGCACAGGCTTGACAAAATTACAGCAAAAGTTGAAGAGATTTTAAAAGGTGGGGGTTTCTTCCTTAAACCCTGGGTCCGGTCAGGGCAAAGTGGGAGGAAAGGAACTGAAGCAGATGTACTAAACCAGGATCAAAGGAAAACCTTAATTCTTCCAAACCAGATGAAAGAGGGAATAAACAAAGCCCTGGGCATCGGCTATCAAGTAGATGAGGACAAACTCTACATGCTGACTGCAGTAAACTTTTCTAAAAGGAAGAAGAAGATGCGAGTTGGAAAAAATCTTCTTGAAGAGGAGGTGAGAACACAAACTCCTAACCAGTTGACAAGAAGAGTCCTCCTAAGCCAAGTTGCTGCACTATATGACCCAATTGGCCTAGTTGCACCAGTCAAGCAGAAAGGAGCGATCCTTGTTCGTAAAGCGTTCCAAGAAGGAGGGGGTGGCAAGTTGACCCAAGAAACCTGGGACCGACCTCTCTCAGAAAGTCTCGGAGAAGAAGCCATACAGCTTTTTGAGAACTATGCACAGCTTGGTCACGTAAAATTCCACAGAAGCCTCACACCATCTGACTGGAAAGGAAAACCTTGAGGTATCACATTCTCTGATGGAAGTGATAAATCCTATGGAGCTGTGATGTACTTAAGATGGGAGACAAAACAAAGTAATTAAGGCATTGAAGTCAGGTTTGTGGAAGCCAAAGCCAAGCTGACACCCTTAAATCAGAAAGGAGATGCCGTTAAGGCAGAAATGTGTGGCGCAGTCTTTGCAGCCAGGATCAGGAAGTATGTGGAGAAGCATGCTCGAATGAAGATTGAGAGGTGGTTCCACTTACTGGACAGTCAGACAGTCCTTGGAGCTATCCAACGAGACAACTATGGATACCAAACATTCTTTGCAAATAGAGTGGGTGAGATCCAGAAGGCCGGGCTAGTGCAAGACTGGTGGTGGATCCGTGGAGATCTAAACATAGCTGATATCTTAACCAGAGGAGGCGCTCCTGACGATTTGAAGGAAAATTCCACATGGCAAAATGGACCAGAGTTCCTGAAGTGGCCAGTGGACGAGTGGCCTATTCAATCGGCTGGAGAAGTGGCAGCCCAGGCCAGAGAAAGGGTGAATAAAATGCAAAGAAAAACATTTTCAGCTACATTGACAAGAGGTCAAGCCAAGACGAATCAGGAAAAAGATTTGTGTAAAGAAAAAACATCCACTCCACCAAAAAGGTTTCCCACTGGCTGGGTTAAACGTCTTGTGGACATAAAACGATTCAGTAGTCTAACCAAACTGAAGAGAGTTATTGCCTGGATCCGTCGAGTTGCTGAGCAGTGGCTAAAGAGGACCTCAAACCCAGAACAGAAAAAATGGATTGCAACAACACCTAAGCAGGCTGGATTGAAAAACACAGAACTTCAGGATGCATGTGATGACATCTTTCTCTCGGCTCAAGTAGGTGTAACATTTCCAGACACAACTCTCAGCAGATTGGCAGTATACAAAGATGAGAACACTGGACTGCAACTTTGTGGAGGTAGAATCCAGGTGTTCAATGAAGAGAAGACTGCTGTACCTGTTTTGCCATATGAATCCTGGGTGTCTACTCTGTTGGCACGAGAATCTCATGAAGCCAACCATGAGGGGGTAGCAGGAACCCTTCTCCGGATGAGGAAGACAGCTTGGATAATTAAAGGCCGGAGAATCGCTAAGAGGGTGGTTGACAGCTGTGTACGCTGCAGGAAGAACAGAGCAAGGCTGTGTCAACAAATAATGGCAAACTTGCCTCCGGAGAGAACAAACCCAGCTGCTCCTTTTGAATTCACTACCGTGGACCTGTTTGGCCCATATGAGGTCAAAGATGAAGTCAAGAAAAGAACTAAAATCAAAGTATGGGGAATCATCTTCTGTTGCATGGCCTCCCGTGCCATACACACAGACGTGGTAAGTGACCAGTCATCCGAAGGTTTCCTGCTGGCCTACCAAAGGTTCACTTCACTGAGAGGGCACCCCAGGAAGATCTGGTCAGACCCTGGCACTAACTTTGTAGGAGCCAAGCCTGCTCTCGAAAAGCTGTACAACTTCCTTGACCAACTGAACAAGACTGAAGTTGAAGACCTAGCTGCCAAACATGGGACAGAATGGGTTTGGAAGATCCATCCTGCAGACTCTCCCCATAGAAATGGTGCAGCAGAAGCTGCTGTAAAAATAGTGAAGCGGGCCCTGAGCAATCTTGGAGGAGAGGGCATCTTCACCTGGGGTGAATTCCAAACCTTTCTTTACATGGCAGCCAACCTTGCAAACGAAAGACCTATTGATGCCAAAACTCAAAGCAGGGAAGATTGTGTGGGATATATCACCCCAAATTCTCTGCTTCTAGGGCGTGCAAACCTGAAGGGAGACCCTGGAGACTTCCAGTTTGATGGTTACCCATACAAAAGACTAAAAAGTATTCAAACAGAGGTCAGTAAATTCTGGAAAAAGTGGAGCCAATTGGCTGGACCAAATCTCTTTGTACGGAATAAATGGCACACCAAAGAGCGAAATGTCGCTGTTGGAGACGTGGTCTGGTTGGCTGATCAAAATGCCTTGAGAGGACAATACAAGCTGGCCAGAGTTGTTAGTGTCAACACTGACAGGAAAGGCATTGTAAGAGACGTGCTTGTGAGGACCTTTCCTAGCTATCCGGTTCCCACCAGAAAGGCAGCTGGAAAGAAGGCGGTTGCAGAATCCATTAGACTGAAACAAAAAATCCCAACCACTATCCTTCATAGGGATGTTAGACGCCTTGTCATTCTAATTCCTGTTGAAGAACAAAACAACAAAGTACTTGTGTGATCTCATTGGGTTTGGAAAACCATGAGCTCAAGTGGGAGGTGTTGGGTTAAAGTTGAGTAAATGGAGGTCTAACTGGTCCACCACCACTGAGAACTACATCTCCCAGAATGCACCAACAAAATGGCGACTGATTGGTGATAAAAAACACCTATGCAGGGTGGTGGCTCTCAGTCCTCAGCCAAACAGGAACAGCACAGCAAGCTCTAACAATGAGTTGACTCTAAAGACGCCAATGGTTGGTAACTATTGTTTTATTTATGATATGAAGTTGTTTTGGGTGACCTTTGAAGTCATGCTTTAATTTAATTGTTTACACTGTTAGTGTGGGAAGATTTAGTTTAGAAGTTCTTTGTTTATTGTATTTATATAAATGATGTGACATCTAACACTTATCTCTGTTCTTTGAAGGTTATCAACCTAATGTTCACTGAACTGACATAATAAAAATTGTTGGAATGTGATGGAGTTGTCCCAAAGTGTCCCTTTAGAGTGAAACTAGTGTGGAGCTTGACACACACACACACTCGCTGTTAACAGTCTTGTACACACACACACACACACACACACACTCGCTGTTAACAGTCTTGTACACACACACACACACACACACACACACACACACACACACACACACACACACACACACACACACTCGCTGTTAACAGTCTTGTACACACACACACACACACACACACACACACACACACACACACACACACACACACACACACACTCGCTGTTAACAGTCTTGTACACACACACACACACACACACACACACACACACACACACACACACACACACACACACACACACACACACACACACACACACACACACACTTGCTGTTAACAGTCTAGTGTACACACACACACACACACACACACTTGCTGTTAACAGTCTGGTGTACACACACACACACACACACACACTTGCTGTTAACAGTCTGGTGTACACACACACACACACACACACTTGCTGTTAACAGTCTAGTGTACACACACACACACACACACACACACACACACTTGCTGTTAACAGTCTGGTGTACACACACACACACACACACACACACACACACACACACACACACACACACACACACACACACACACACTCGCTGTTAACAGTCAGGTGTACACACACACACACACACTCGCTGTTAACAGTCTGGTGTACACACACACACACACACACTCGCTGTTAACAGTCTGGTGCACACACACACACACACACACTCGCTGTTAACAGTCTGGTGCACACACACACACACACACTCGCTGTTAACAGTCTGGTGTACACACACACACACACACACACTCGCAGTGTGTTATGAAGCATCGTACCATGAGAACCGAGTCCTTCCTGTGGTTGGTGGTGAAGAGCTCAGCCAGACCGCTCACAAACAGGTGATTGGCTGTGTTGTACACTTGCCCCGCCTCCACCATCTTCCCACACAGCTTCATCACCTGATTGGTCAGATATGTTAAATAAGTTAGATAAGAGAAATGTTCACACAGCATCCTTCTCAGCAGATAAAGCAGACTGGTCCCCAACACAGACCTGCAGCTGGCAGCTTAAGAGTTAATTCGACATCTGAGAGGTAGTCATAATGTTTTGGGTGAACTGGGTATGCCAGACAAATAGTTAGGAGAGTAAAACCACCTTGTCCAGTCGCGTTTCCACTTCAGAGACGTCAGCCTCAAACTGATCCAGAGTCAGTCTGATCAAAGAGAATCAAAGCATCATCAGGACACACAGAGAGAGAGAGAGAGAGAGAGAGAGAGAGAGAGAGAGAGAGAGAGAGAGAGACTCAATATTTAATAGAAATAAAAATAACATTTGATTTAATAATTTACATGCATTTTTTTTCATCTTAAATTTCTGATCAAGAGTAAAGACTCCGGAGTCCAGACTTTGGTTCTGGTTCTGTCGGACCTGAGGGTTCCAGAGGAGCAGTCACCCTTCCTGCTACACATCCTAGTCTTGAATTTTTCATGCCGTTTTTTTTTGTTTACAGATGTGTTACTCACCTGAACTCAGGTGAGTCTTTAATACATTCTTCGAAGTCCAACAAGGAATCCATGACGTCACACAGCTGCCCCACTGTCAATAAAATGACTTAATAAAGTTTATTCGCCATCCTGAGCGGAGCTGACCGTTACTTAGCCTGTTAGCCCGTTAGCTCGGCTTCGCTGATCATTCCTTGAACCAAACGTTACCTGCTCATAACCGGAAACCTTCAACATGCAACTCTCTACGCTGCAGACTCGGTTAGGGTAGACGTGGAGAGAAACCGTGTTTGTTTATTTAGTTTAGTTTCTCGGTGACAGCTGTCTCCGCTACGGCGGCGGTATCCGGTTTGTTTCGCACCGATAGACAGCGTCGCGTGGTGGTTCGGAGAGGAACTGCACCCTCAGTGAAAGGAAAAACAAACAAAAAAAAAAGATAAATATGCACATTATCTTACAATTAATCTCATTTTTCATATATGTTTTATGTTACTTCATGATGACCTTACATGTTTTATTGTCAGGGCCGGATCTAGACTGGCAGACAGAATTGTGAAGGGGGCACATTGTGATGGAAAGGGGAAAGGTGTGGGTTGGTGGCGGAGGTGCTCTGGATGTTTTTGTCACGTGAGTGGATTGGATTTTGTTAGACTTCGACCTTCCTACCTTCTCTCTCCCTTAAACCCTTATTCGTGTGTTTGTCACATCACAAATCAACTAGTGCCATCCAAACCCCTCACCAAACTGCTGCCTGTCTCCTAACCCACGCCCATTCTGTTGACCCACCAGACCTCTGCTGGCTTCCTGTACCACAGCACATCACATTCAACGTCCTCCAAAACCTGGCACCCCTCCTACCCCTCTGACCTGCTCCATCCGTCTTCCTCCCCCCCCCACAGGACCAAGGTATGAACTTGGCGGGGCAGCCGTCTCCATTGTTGCCCCCACCCGCTGGAACTCACTCCCACAACTGCTCTGAGCTCTCCACCTTCAAAAATCTGCTCAAGACTCATTTTCAAAACTTTAAAGAGCAAGTCACCCCCTACCAGAATATTATTCCACCCCCACTTTCTGTTTGAAAAATGCAACAAATGCTGTTGCCTAGCAGACCGAGAGGGCGGAGCCGCTAACAAATACACACAGGCTCACAACGACATTGTGACATCATATGGTACCAGCTAACGTTCTAGGGTACCTCTTGGCCAATAGCGATGGCAGATTTAAATTCAAATGCAGTGTAGTTTTTATCTGACAACGGCACAACACTGACAGTTTTAGGCAGAAAATTAAAATTTTTACTAAAATGCACTAAAGTGCGAAAACTATTGACTACACGTGTCTGCAGCACGATTAGACACACATTTAGTTTATCAACAAAAAAAGTTGATTTGAGGGTGACTTGCTCTTAAATGTTTTATTATGACCCCAGGACACGTCCTATGGGGTCCCACCTGAAGGCGGAGCTTCTGCTGGTGCAGCTTATGCTCAGAGGCTTGAAAGCCCTCAGACCACAATAAAGTGGTAACGCTTCAGGGATAAAACAGAAAAATACATGATCCTTTATTGGGTTTTAGTGACTAGAAACATGTATGTTATGTGCTTATTTTGTTGCAAATTTGAAATAATCTTTTATTTCTGCACACGACAACAGAGCAGGAAAAGAATAAACACGGATATCCAGCTGTTTGCTTTAAAGTAAAGAGGAAACATAAAGAAACAAATAAAGCTAAATATAAAATATGTCGTAACACTTAATTACCATGTAGGCAAATGCATCAAATGCAGTGTAGGAGCCATATGTATGTGTCATTTCTTTTTGTGCACTTGAGAGGAGGCTTGGCCTCATGTTATTGGTTAATTGCTTGTGGAAGCACCAGCCTACTTAAGCCAACACAGATTGGACTCAGGTGTGGCTGGATGGGACAAACAGTTTTTTACTGTGTGGCGAGGACTGTGGCTGTGTGTAAAGGACTCTGCGGACTGTCATTGGGGCAAGTAACGCATTCACTGCACACCAATTTAACTGCTGTAAATGGATCCTGGACATTCTGGAACAAGACAAGTAATAAACATCATCAGAAATAAACTCAAGCTGCATTTCTTAAAGCACACGTAAAGACCACCCGCAACAGCTACCAGGTAGTGCCAGTGTATAGGGCACTGGCGCTACATGCAGTCTCACATTAGAAACCTGTAATAACTGATGGCGTCAACCAGAAGTTGAACTAGTAGCTTGCAGATTTCAACAAGAGTATTTCTGATCTCATTTATTTTCATGTGATTTTTTAAATCAAAGTTAGAAATTAAGCTTCAAACTTTCAGTCACTGCAGTCTTGATATTTTTTTAATCCTTCCTCCCCGTTAGACTTTTCCACAACTCCAGCTGGAACCACGTGGTTGCTCATTACATTTTCTGATTAGCGTCCTAAATAATCTCTAAATGTCAAACATGATAAAGCAGAAAGACAGACAAATGTTTAAAAATCAGAAACAAGACCAAGGTTTTATTTGAAAACAAGTGAGATGTTGGATCAGCAGGACTCCTGCTGAGATGACGACGAAGACGAATCAGTGGCCAATAGAAACCAGGATCACTGTGACGTTGTCGCCGCTGCCTCGCCTCACCGCCTCGCTGGCTAACTGCTGACAAGCTGCTTCAAAGTGAAGCTCTTCGCGGGTCAGACCTTCCCTCTGCTCCACACCCTCCTCCTGCGGGGGGGGAAACGAGGACAGGGCACACTTCAGTCAGTGGCTTGGTTTGATGGAGCAGCAGGTGTGAAGCATTTTAGCTTCGGAGCCACGAAAGTACAAAGACCAGCGAGTTGACTTTTACTGATCAGGAGCAGAAAACTATGTCGTGCTCTTCTCCAGGGTATAAGCAGGAAACTTGAAGTTAAATTTAATACCTTTTCAAGACTTTTTGAAGACCTTCTCAACATGTTTTAATACCTCACCCGCCATCTCAAGGTGTATCCATTTACAGTGAGCAGAGAAACTTTTAACATTTCAGTGCATTCGTAATACGTACCAGGAACACCGGCGTGTACACGGTGGTTTTGAACTTTCCCCGCCCGCCCTATTGCTCTGAGAGGAGGATTCCTAAAGCACCCACAATACCCTGTTCGTTTTTTTTTAATAAAAATGACTAAATGCACACGCTTTTATGATGTTTTAGGGATTCAAACTGTTGGAGGTTTAATTCAGAAAAAATAATTTCTAAATTTAAGACTTTAAAAAAGCCGTGATAATACTTTTTAATACCTTTTAAGGGTCTTTCTTTTACCAAAATTCATTTATCACCTTTTAATACTTTTCAAGAGTCCGCAGACACCCTGTTCTCAGTTAGCTGGAGCTTTTACAGAAATCACAGCCAAATGTCCTGACGGGGTGTTTCCCAATGTCAAGGCGCCTGGCCTTGCGAGGCGATGTCTTGCGAGGCCAGGCGCCTTGCTTACGAGGACACGGTCCTTCCTTGGTCAAAGAAACGGTTAAATGGAACAGACTTGCATCACGTGACCGCGGCTTCCACGACGGTCACGTAACGTCACGACACGGGAGATCACGTTATATTTTATACGTATTACTTTCAATATAAATACATAACGAGCTTTTACTTTTTAAATTGTGTACATGTTTGTTAAATTAAACATAAACGAGTTACTACCCGCTAGCCACCGAAGCTGCAACTACTAAGCTAACTGACCAACTATAGATAACTTCTTTGGATAAAAAAAAAAAACATTTTAAATTAGCTGACTTACTTTTAAACTTGAAATTTGTCCCCGAAGTAGCTGCTGGCTTCTGATCCGCCGTCCTTTTGAAACTACCGCGGTGTATTGTGGGTAATGTTTGACCAAGGCTAGGCTACAAGACACTAGGGCTGCTCGATTATGGCAAAAATAATAATCACGATTATGGTGACTGAAATTGAGATCACGATTATTTAGGACGATTTTTCAATTTATGTTGATTTTATTTGTTTTTATTCAGTCATAAAATTGCTCAGGGCACAATCAGGACAAAAATAAGAAACAAGATGATCACTAAAAGAACTCCTGATTCCCAGTATAAAAAGACCAATATACTTATAGCTCATAGTCTATGACCCAAGGGCTATAAACCTTGGTTTAACTCATGTAAGTCTAACCAGTACAGACCCAAATACCAATATCTTGCAAATACTGACAGCAAGAATTATACAGTGGCATTTATAACAAATAAATGCAAATAAATTCATGTTCACAAAATGTTGCAAAACATTTATTGAGTCGTGTCAAGGTGCTGTAGGAGAGTGCACTAGCACCGTGTCCTCAGAGAGGTTATTTATTAGTTATCAGCGCGAGGAACTTATTTCTACCTTATTTATAAACCATTTATTTACAGGTCCATCAGTTAATGTAATAATTGTCCCAACCACTGCTGCACCCCCCAACCCGGTCTCACAGCAATCGGGGCAAGCTGCATGTGTGTTTAGCACGCCGCACGCGCACATTTAGCTGTTTTTAGTGGCTCAGGAGTCCGCAGGTGCGGTGTGTGTGTCACTCACTCTGGTTACTCCAACAAGGAGCAGGGCGGCTCTGAGAGCTGTCTTTAGCGACCGACACATCACTACATCATTCCCTTTCCTAATGTCCTGAAGAACGGTCCGGAGCGCAGGCGGAGTGTTTAGCTAACCTGCAGGAAATGTCGACGACCGTTATCCAGAAAGTAGCTAAGGGTTACCAGAGATGTTTCTGAGGTGTTCGCTAGGTACTTTTGAGATTTAAAAAGTCAAGAAGGGGGTCTGAAAAGCTGCTAGAAATAGCGTCAAAGTCACTAAGTTGGCAACACTGTGGGAGGAGCGCTTCATTTGCAACTCAGGGCAGCGCAAGCGGGAGGAGCAAATAATCGGCTTGTTTTGTTTTTTATAATCGTTCAAAACTCAGATCGTAATCGTGATTAAAATTCGATTAATTGAGCAGCCCTACAAGACACCTTCCGTGTGTCCTCGCTCAGCTAGCTAAACGGCTAACAAACGGAGAACACACGCCTCGGTAGAACATGAACATTGGAACACGTCTTGGCGGCTCCCGATGACGAATCTCCTAGGCAACCGGGGCGGGGCCAAGACATCAAGGCGAGGTTCCTCGGCATTGAGAAACACCCAGGAACTTTTCCCAGTTTTGTCTGATTTCTGCAGATCATCTAACACCCTTAGACTCCGGTCCCCCGCCGGGGTCACGACCCCAGCCGTGTAAAGCGCTCACCTGCAGGACGTTGAGGACGAACTTCACGGCTTCATCAGCTGAGAACACCTTGAACAAACCATCGCAGGCCAGAATGATGAACCTGCAGCAGAAACATCACAGAGAGCTGGGCTAAGGCATCGACCCGGAAGCAGCAAACTGGTTTGTAGTGATGTCATCCGAGTGCTGACCAATCAGCAGCAAGCGTCTGTACTTGCCTGTCACTGGCTGTGAGCTGATACCTCCGTACGTCAGGCGTAGAAATGACTCCGCAGCGTTTGTACTGACCGTCTCCGATGGACCGGGACACCTCAAGGACACCAAGCACCCGGCCGTCCCTGTGGAGACCACCGACCGAGAGTCCAGCGTTAGTCAAAGTCCAGCAAGGACTCGGGCTGGACTATAACTTAACCCTTTAAGTAGGGCTGGGCGATATGACGATTTTAGACCGTTTACGATCGACACATCTGACGGTCTGTCATTTTTGAGAGACCTTTTTATCACGATTCACAGCTCTGCTGTTGAATTTCTGCCTCTGAATGAAAAGGGAACTTACCCTCAGGCGAATGACACGCCTTTGTTTGACCCTTAACCAATCAGAGTGAGTCATAGTAATATATTAGTGCCCCGCTTGTTTTCACCTGTGTGTGAACAAACATGGCTTCTTCCGCGGCTGAGAGCGACGAGGTTTTTGCTCCGAAGAGGAACGCCTTTTCCACAGTACCGACTGAGCACCGATTCACTTCATTTCAAACGGCGCCTCGTTTTGGTACCCGTCCTTCATAACGAGAACTTGCCTAGACAGCTGCGCATGCGCAAGAGCGTTATGTCGGTCGCTGCGAGCGAGTTGTAAACAGAGCAGCATGGTAGAAAGAACGCACGCTAAAGCTTGGGTCCACTTCACTAAATGTGATGAGTAACTGGGTGATGATGAAACCAGCGACAACGATCTAAGTGAGACATCCTCATCTTAATCTGCTCCGGTAGGTAAATAAAATGTTTAAGATAACGTTAGCTTGATATGTTAGCTTCTATTCCGCTAATGGTGCATTCGCTTTCTCCTCGGAACTCCGAATTTCCGACTGGAAGAACATGAACGCGTTCTAAAGTTTGGCTTCACTTTACTAAATGTGACGGGTGATTGGGTGAAGATGAAACCAGCGACAACGATCTAAGTGTGAGGCATCATCGTTTTAATCTGCTCCAGCAGCTAAATAAACTGTTTAAGATAACTTTAGCTTGATATGTTAGCTTCCATTGCCACCATTGTTATCAGCTAATGGTGCGTTCGCCTTCTCCTCGGAAATTCTAACTTCCCAGTAGGAAAAATCAAATGAAAAAGGACGGCAAAAGGAATGAAGATACACAGTAAATTTAGTTCACAGTAAAGATGTTTGCTTCAGTTTAATTATCAGCTTATAAAACTACAAGGACGATGTTAAAATACAAACAGTTGAATGTTATTTATCGTGATATTTATCAAATATGGTTATATATAGAGAAAAATATATATTTAATTATAAAAGAGAATTAAAATATTAAACACTCAAAAGTATCGAAAATTGGTACCGTTAAGTACCGGTATCGATTCCTAGGTACCGGGAATTAGTACCGGATCGATTCAAATGTCAAAGGTACCCATCCCTATCCATTATATGGAGCTGGTTTGGTTTTTCACCAGATGACAAAGAGCAGCGAAACGTCATTTGCAAAGTTTGCAAGCAGAGCGTCAAGGCAAGTGATGGCAACACCACAAACTTGTTTAATCACTTGAAAAGAAGGCATCCCAAACAATACGAGAGCCAGCTGGCAGCTAAAGCTAAAAAGCCTGCGGCTACAGCGGCTAGTGCTTCTTCCAGGCAGCAAACGCTAACAGAAACACTCACAAAACTCACTCCCTACGACAGAGACAGCAGAAGATGGAGCAGCGGGACCGGTGCAGTGACGTACCGCTTGGTTAAAGATTTGTGTCCCGTGCGAACAGTAGGAGCGGGATTTAAGAACATGATAAAAACATTGGATCCGCGCTACGAGTTTTCCAGCCGCAAGTATTTTTCGAACATTGCCATTCCACGCATGTACGCTGAATGCAAAGTGAGAGTTGCAGAAAATATTCAGAATGCGCAGTTATTTGCTACCACAAGCGATCTCTGGTCCAGCCGCACATCAGAGCCGTATTTGAGCTTAACTATCCACTACATGAGCAACTGGGAGCTACATAGTATTTTGAACAAGTTCATGTTTGCACAATACGTTAGCAATTGACATGTTTGCACTTTAAATATGTTTACGATTTTAATTTATGTTAAGTTACTTGAAAAACGAGAAAAACTGATTTTTGTAATTGTTTCTCTCGGGGCTTTTATCATCTCTGGTGTGAGTTTAAAACATAAGTGTGTTAGCACTGTGCTGATTATCCCTAATATGAATAAATGTTTATTTATTCAATGTTTCTCTTCTTTAATACGCAATTGGAGTTATGCTATTCATGGATAAAAAATCGTGATAAAATCGAAATCGTGATAAAATATTGGAAAAATCGTGATATTCTACTTTTGCCATATCGCCCAGCCCTACTCCTTACTCCTAACCAGTCAAAAGCACAGACTCGGGCACGCTGCGTCACCACGCCCTCCCCTCTCATGCCAAAACAGCACGAGGCAGCAAGATGCCGCAGCGAGAAGAGGCGGAGAAAAAAATAAATATCAAAAATAAAATGGCCAGGGCTGCACGTCAAATCTATTTTCTACTATTTTAAAATTATTTTTGAATAATTATCGATATCGATCAATATATTAAAAAAAAAGTATTGATATACTATTTTGCTATATCGTCCAGCCCTAGCGAAGACACAATTCCCGTCTCTGGAGCGGAACAGAGGGAATCTGACCTGACACTGCCTCCAGCTCTCTGGATCCTCATCCGCTCCTCGTAGATGGTTGGGTTGTGTTCCTTACTGAGAGACAGAGTCGTGGACTTCTTCTGTCCATCTGCTGCTGAAGATGTCTCCACCCGACACAACACGGCCTGCAGAGACAGAGACACTCCGTCACGATTCAGTGATCCTCAGGGAATTCCCGCAGCTCTTCAGGAACGTCTGACCCTTCTGAGACAACACATCTGCAGACCAGAAACGTCTCACCCTGCTGTCCCCCAGGTTAGCCACGTAGACGGCGTCGTCCACCACCAGGACACAAGTGGCCGTGGATCCATCCTTCCACGCTGGCTTCCTGTTCACAAACACATCAGACAATTCCTGAGGGGTAGGAACATCTCCCAGCATGACCACGTCTCTCCGAGTTCTCATCTTACTGGCTGGAGGCTTTCTTCAGGAAGTCTTCGTCTGTCTGTCTGAAAGCGTCCAGGAGACATTTCTTTATCAGCTTGTCTAGATGTTCACCTTCTCCTGAAACAGAAAACAACCTCTCAGCTCCTCGGGCCTGAAATGGGTTTGGGTCAAGTCCAAAGTCCTCAGAAGGTGAAGCCTAAAGACGAGGACCGAACCTGGACTTGTGGACGGCATAAAGACTCACCTGAGGGGAATTTCCTGGCCAGACTCAGGTGAAGATTCTCAGCAGCGAATCGAGATGCTCGAGCTCCACCGTGTCCATCAAACACGGCATAATACGAGACACGGGAGCTACAGGACAGATACGGGACACCCAGCGAACAGAAGGTCTCGTTAAAATCCTGAACCCAACCAGAGTTCTCAGTCCGATCTACTTCATTAAACTCTGAAGTTCTTTGCTGGAGTCCAGCCGAATGTTTCTCAGAAGAATTTGGTTTCTCTACAAATGTTCTGGTACTAGAAGTGAGGCCGGGTCACAAATTAGAGAGCCCAAAGAAAACTGTTGACCCAGAACAAGTTGTAACAGATCTGGAGTTCTGGGTCAGTGTTGTTCTGTCTGAGATTAAAGTGGGCTGGTAGACAATCGCTAGAGGTCTTACAGGAGATCTGGTGGTGATGACAGACAGCTGCTCATGTCGGGCAGCAACACGTGAGCGTCCTGCATCTCCTCACGCTCACCTTGCCGTGCTGCCACATAGCCTCTCAGTACCGGGAGACCTGTAGGACAGGGGGGGGGGGGGGGGTTACACAGTGAGTCCCAGACCCAGAGCACTTCCTCTACTCAGCACCTCACAGCTCTAATTCGAGGAAAAGAAGAAACAAACATTGCGGTGGAACAGCTGAAAACCTTCTCTACAAACTTTCTTGATCTCCTTCTTCTCTTCCTCTTCATCCTCTCGTCTTCGTTTGAACCCTTTGTCCTCCTCTTCCTGGTTTGTGGTCCGTGATTGAGTCGAGACTGCTGCTGGAAGTGAAGCTGAGGACAAAGTTGAACATTTAGGTTTCTCAACACTGCTGGTTCTTCCAGGGTTCCTCTATGAGGCCTCCTCGGTCCTTTCAGACGCGTAAATGTGTTTCAGCATCTATGGTGTTGCTAGGCATTGATTCGAATTTCAAGAATTGATGAAAAGGAAAATATAAAGAAATTACAACTGGATCAGGAAGGTATTTTTAGCTCAGTACTTTTTAAAAAACCTAGCAGTTTTAGGTAAGTGAACGCATCATTGCTGTCAGCAGGTTGGAACTACAAATAAATAAAAATTTGATGTAGGCCCTAAAAACAATCTGTTTCTGGTTCTTATTCGAACCATTTTCCAGTAATTCTGCGCTTTTTTAATTCTTTCATTCACTTCAGTCCGACACTGAAGGTAACGCGCTTGACTTCAGACCCTGAACAGCTACAAGAACCAGGTCCAATTCTAATGTACATGCAGTCCCGTCTAATACGGTTTGTTTTTCACAGTTTTTTTCTGCCCGTTTAAAAGTAACACCGGTACCAGGTCACTGTAAACCCACTAGGGACGCTTACCAGATGTCTGTGTCGGTTCTGGCAGGTCGTCGAACAGATCCATTATTTGGGTTAGCAAGTACGCTAACTAACGCGCGTTAATTTCCCGTCCCCGATACCGTCCGGTTTCACAGTGACGTATGTGTGCTGACCCGGTCCAATGACGGGTCAGACTGGCCCGAATAGTTCGGTACACGGATTAGCGCTAAAACGCTAGAAAAAGAACCAGAACGGTTAGCATTTAGCTAAAAGCCTTCCGTTGCAGTTCGAGGACTTTTTCAAAATAAAAGCGCTGCCAGATCAGATGCGTCACTTCCGCTTCCGAAACTTATTTTAAACAGATGCATTACGTATAAGAGTGAACATATGTTTACTTTGATTTACTAAAGAGTGATAAAAATAAATCTAGTACACATGACGTTAAAACACGTCTTGTGTTTTTTTCTGGGGTTGTTGACTCCGTGTTTGTTTGGTGTCTTTTACATTAAGTTTGAGATTATTTATTTTATTAATCTATTTTAGTGTTCTGTTGTAATTTTTCAATTGATTTTTTTATATTGATCTCGATTGTGCTTTTGTTTCTTAACTGGTAGTTCCGCGTTTTGTGTTTATTTTTATTTCTTTACTTATTAATTTTTGTCGATTGTTGATCTCCTTTGGGTTTTCCACGTCCCGTCAGTAAGAAGACATTTTGGAACCTGAAGGTCTTAGTCTGAACTCTTCTGGTCCCTGGTTTGGACCCACAGCCCCTGGATCCCTGCTTGTTGTGCAGCCGTCGGAAATCCCACTGCAGGAGCGACTTTGAACGTCTCACGCTGTCATTCTCGGGCAGCGATCTGACCTGAGACCAGACTGGTTCACTGCTGAGCCGGACACCATGCGGATGTCTCTCCTGTGTCTGTGGACCAGCTGGGTCTTGTTGCTCCGGGAGACGTCTTCAGTCCCGCTGGAGGTGAAAGCCCGGACCGGCTGGAGGCGGCAGGGCGCCGGTAGACCTGACTCTGCCCCTCTGCTGGATGGAGATAAATCGGGAGACATCGGAGGGAAGCCCGGAGCCTGGAGGAGATCAGCTGTGAGCGGGTGAGGCAGCAGAAACAACGTTATTCTTCAGTTCACATATTTACGTTTTTATTCTGAATAATCAAAGTTCAAAACAAGACCGGCTTGTTTAATATTTAAGTTTTTATTTTATTTTTTTAATCTATTTTAAAACTATTTTAATTGTTTCCCCATTACTTTATCCATCCATCCATTTTCGGCTGCTTATCCAGGGTCGGGTGGTCAGGGCAGGGAGGCCCAGACTTCCCTCTTGCCAGACACTTGGGCCAGCTCCTCAGGGGGAATCCTAAGGTGTTCCCTGGCCAGCCGAAAGACATAGTCACTCCAGCGTGTCCTGGGTTGTCCTTTAGGTCTCCTTCCAGTTGGATGTGCTGGAAAACCTCACCAGGGAGGCGTTCAGGAGACATCCTAACCAGATGCCCGAGCCACCTCAACTGGCTCCTTTTGATGCGGAGGAGCAGCGGGTCTACTCCGAGCCCCTCCGAGATGACTGAGCTTCTCACCCTATCTCTTAAGGGAGAGCCCTGACACCCTGCAGAGAAAACACATTTCGGCCGCTTGGTCACCACCCAAAGCTCCTTTGTGAACAAAACCCAAGTCCTTCCCTTGGGGCAGGACCCCATTCCCGACCCGAAGAAGGCATTCTACCCTTTTCTGGCTCAAGACCATATGGTCTCGGATTTGGAGGTGCAGTTTCACACTCGGCTGCGGACTGCTCAAGGGAAAGTCGGAGATCATGGTCCGGTGAGGCTGCAAACAGCAGAGCACCGAAACGGACCCCCTCAACACTTTGGCTGCTTAAACATCTTAAAGATTAACATTTCATGCGGTGACCCTGCAGAACGCCTGTGAGAAGTTTCTGCCTCAGCATTAGAGAAAACAGCTGAAATGTTTGTGTGCGAAGAGGTCATGACCCTCAGTGTGTGTGTGTGTGTGTTGTGTTTTTAAAGCCCTATGGTGGATACAGTTATTGAGGCCTCCTCTGCTGCTACAATAGGAGCAGGACTCTGTGAGTAACGATTAAATCCTCTGATTCCACGCCCACTACCTTCGGCCCAAACCAGAGCCAGAACCAGAACTAAAGAATAATATCAAACTGACACTGCGGGTTCTGGGCTCTGATCTGTGTACCCATCAGAACCCCCGAGCCAGGCTCAGAGATCTTGACCGGATCACAGCTGGATCAGGATTTACTTTGTTCCTCTTCTCGTTTTATCATGTTTATCTTTAAACGTTTTCATTTTAATGTCCGTAACATTTTGTCGCTGCGGCCCGATGACCCGTCTGGTCTGAACCGTGTTGACACTTCCTGTTGTGCTCAGCTGTGAAGTCACGCCAACTCGACACTTTGATGGCGTCTCTGGACCAACAGCCTGCTGGGAACACGCTTTATTTTCTTAGCCTGAGGAGGTCCAGCTGGTGGTTCTGACTCGATGCTTGACTTTTACAAATCTTCCAGTCGGGTTTTCTGTGAGTTTGCTTTGCAGGTTGAACCACGGAGGATTTCTGGGGAACGAGACTTTTAAGAGTCCTCTCTTCTCCCTGCAGGCGTCGGATCTGTGGAGGTGCTTGTTGTGGTGGATGGTCACTGAAAACCCAGAGATGCATAGAAGGTGAGTTAGAGAGTGAACTCGGATTCATAATCAGTAGAAATAATATGTATTCAGTTATAGCGCTGAGTCAGCTCATCTTCGTGTTTTTAATGACATTTTATTAACCCTTGACTCTGGTTCTAACGTATTGCTGGTTTTGTTGGATCTATCGGCTGCTTTCGACACGGTTGATCGCGCTACTCTGCTGACTCGGCTGAACCTTCAGGGGACTGCCTCAGACTGGTTTAGGTCCTACTTCTGTGACTGCAGCTTTAATGTTATGATGGGTAGTGCTGCCTCCCCCTCTGCAGCTTTGACTTGTGGTGTTCCGCAGGGCTCTATTCTTGGACCCCTTTTATTTAATTTACATATTTTGCCCCTGGGTGACATTTTTAATAAAACACCACGTTGACTACCATTTATATGCAGACGATTGCCAATTTTATGCCTCTGTGAAACCCAATGACTCCTTACAGCCCCTTGTTGAATGCTGCAATGATGTGAAGAGCTGGCTGTCGGAAAACTTTCTTTTGCTGAACGACGACAAGACAGAGGCCATCGTTTTCAGCCCTAAGACTTCTCCAAGTCCCCAACTGACCCTTCCATTTATCAAAAGTGGGTTGAAAACCCGTGTCACAAACTTAGGGGTCGTGATGGATGCCAACCTAAAACTGGACATTCATGTCAGCCGGGTAGTTAAGACCTGTTTTTACCACCTGAAGTTAAGCCCATTTTAAAAAGGCGTCTTCTCCTTGAACATCTTAGGTGTGTTCTTGCTGTGTCGTGGTTCTAATTCCAGGCTTTTGGCGAAACTGTAGCTACAAAACAGGTAAACAAAACTGTTTCTGTGTTTAAAAAGAACGAAAGCATGGAATTAGGCGTCTTCTCCACTCAGTTGTCCATGCCTTCATTACTTCCCGTCTCGACTACTCTAACTCAGTGCTATACGGCATCTCCTCCTCCACTCTCGCCCGCCTTCAGCTAGTGCAGAACGCAGCAGCTCGACTCTTGACTGGCACCAGGCAGTGAGAACACATCACACCGGTTTTGACAAATCTCCACTGGCTTCCCATCCATCTCCGGATAGAGTTTAAGATCCTGGTTTTTGTGTTCAAATCCCTCAGTAACCTAGCACCTGGCTACTTGTCCGAGCTCATTTACCCTTATGTCCCCACAACATCCCTCCGATCAGCCGACCAGCACCTTCTTCATGTCCCCAGCTCCCGCTGTAAGTCCCGCGGGGTTTGTGCATCGAAGCTCTGGAACCACGTGCCCCTCCTGATCAGACTCTTCCTCTCTTTCCCTTTTTAAGTCTCGTCTAAAATCTCACTTTTATTCATTGGCTATTAATTCAGTCTAACTTATTCTCTATTTCCTTTTCTTTTTGATTTGAATTACTCGATTTTAATGGATTTAGTTTGTATTTTTGATTGTTTTTATTGTGGTTTTTGTTCAGCACCTTGGTCGGCTCTCACGCCGTGTTTGAATGTGCTATACAAATAAACTCGGTATGGTATATCCTTTAATTCTGTGTTCATGAGAAAACGTTTATTCATATGTTTATCGAGTCTTTCTTTTCTCCTTGACTCTTATCTTCTGTAAAAAACGTCTCCAGCTTATGATAACTCTGTTCCTCCTCCTGCAGCAAGATGTCCTCCCTGTTCAAACGGGCCACCATGTCCGCTGTCCACCAGCTGTCTGTGTAGACAGCATTTTTACGGTAACCGCTGCCAGTTCTTCACCATGGCACTTCCAGTGGGATGGCGCAGAGCGGTGCTCGTCCATCCCACTGGGGCTCCACCTGTCCTGAGGTCTGCCTCCCCCACCACAGCCACCAGAACCAGCAGAACCACCAGCAGACCCGAATCTGACCCACCTTCCCATGAAGCTCAAGCTGAAAGCTCAAAGGAGGACCAAGGAGGTGCTTCTGAAGGGTTTCTGCCTGTGGAGGAGAACCGTGCCTCAACAGGGAGCCTGGGTTTGGTTAGGACAGATCTGGATCTGGATCCTGAGTCTGATCCAGATCTGGATCCAGATCCTGATCCAGATTTGGAGCAGCGAATGGCGTCCTCTGAACACCCTGGAACTGAGGCAAGAAAGGAGAACCCATCGAGCCTGGAACTGAAGGACGACAAGGGTCAAACTGGAGAGGAGAGGAGGTGGGAGGAGACAAAGAGGAGGACACCAAGGTAACAACCTTCTCCCTCTGACTTCTTACCTCTCTCAGAGTCTGCTGTTGTTTCTTTTTGGGATGTCCTCATCTCCTCCTTTTGTTACCTTTTGTCCTTTCCTCCAGTTTCCCGTCCTTCGCTCATTCATCTCCTCATCTTCCCCTCATCGCCTTTTCGTCTCCTCCCTTCCCATTTATCTGTCTCGTGTGCTTATGTCCTTGCATCCTTTCACCATGTCCTCTAAACCCGTGTCCTCTCTCATGGCCTCCTCTTCCCTCTTTTTCTCCTTACCTTGTCCTATCCCTTCTGTCCTCCTCATCTCCTCTCCTCCCTTAGTTGCAGTTCAGTGTTCAGACAGCAGGCGGCGCTCCTCACATGATCAAACACAAACTGTCCCCCTCTGTCTTTTATTTTGGACTTTGTCTAAATGGACTGAAGACTGAGAGACGGAGCTCTTCGTGCTGCAGCCGTCAGACTGA